AAAGGAAGAAGGACTGAAAGAGGAGAGAGAGGGAGGAAAGACAGACTGAAAGATTTGAGAGGAGAAATTGAAAGAGAGATTGAAAGAAGGATTGAAAGAGATTGGGAGAGATTGAAAGAAAGAAAGGAGAGAGAGGGAGAAAGGAGAGACCGATTGAAAGAGATAGAAAGAGAAGGATTGAAAGAGGAGAGAAAGACATTGAAACATTGAGAGGAGAAATTGAAAGAGAGAAAGAAAGGAGATTGAAAGATTGAAGAGAGAGAGAGATTGAGATAAAAAGAGGAGAGAGATTGAGACAAAGGAGAGATGGAAAGAGAGATTGAGAGGGATTGAAAAAGAAATAGAAGAGAGAGAGAGGAGGTCCTTAAGCCACGGGAGAGACCCCTGACGTCGGTCGGACGCCATCTTGGCCTCAAACCCCCTACCCCCCCACTTCCTGCCCTCGTTCCCCTGCCGGCACTCACTTCTGAGACCACTCCAGGTTCATGCCCGACTGCAGGGAGAAATTCTGCAGCATTTCCTGCTGCTCGGCCGTCAGGGTGGGCCCGGGGCTCAACGCCGGCATGGGCTCGGTGGAAGGGATGGGCACGGGGCTGGAGGACGGGGTGGGGGCCGGCATGACGAAGGCCTTGCGGATTTCCGTGATGGTGGCTTTGCGGATGAAGATCTGGTCGTTCACGATGCTCAGCCTGGGGAAAAGGAAAGGGAAGAGCTGCAGCCATGGAGGCTCCCCACAGGGGCAGGGAGCCCTCGACTTACAAACCTGCTCATTCAGGGACCATTCCAAGTTACAACGGGACGCCGGACCGGTTTTCACATTGATCAGAATTCAGGCCCTTGGCAACCGGCTCGTTATTTATGACGGTCGCAGAACCGCAGGGTCTGTGTGTCCACCTGATCCCCTTTTGCGACCGCCTGACCAGTGAAGTCCAGGGTTTCTCTTAACAACCGGGTCACTGACTTTGACAACCGGGGCGATTCACTTAACAACGATAGCAAGAGCGGTGGCAAAACTCCCCTTAACCAACGTCTTGTTTAGCAAGGAGAAGCTCGGCCTCAGTTGCGGCCATAAGTCGAGGACCGCCTGCCGGTAGAGAGGCCCGATTCACTTTATAACGGTGTGACTAAGCTGCCCTTAACAACTCTGGCCAGAAAAGTCATAAAGACGGGGCAAAGCTCGTTTAACGGGTGTCTCGCTTAGCGACGGGAATGTTGGGGCCTCAATGATGGCCGAACGTTGAGGACTATCTATACTCTAGCAGTTTAGAGAGGAGGGGAAGTTGGGCCACTTTCCCCGGGGTGGGTGGGAGAGGTTAATGCTTGGGAGGGGGTGGGGGGAGCCCCGAGAGACCGCAAAATCTTAAAAATAACAGCCGCACCATTACTGACTCACCCCGTCGTGCCGGGTGCTAACCCTACGCTCACAGAGTGGCTTTCCAAAAAAACTACAGTTGGAGGTCGGGTTCCCTATTATTTCTTGCAACGACTCTCTAAATTTTTGGGTGGGGGGAAAAAGAAAAAAAGGAAGAAAAAAAAGAGAGCAAGGTGGGGAAAAAGCAGGCAAGCGTGAAGATGGTACCACGCTGGAGGCTTCAATAAAAAAGAGAATGTCTTTAGGTTGAAATGATGCTCTCTGAGCTTGGTGGTTTTCTTGCAGACGTTTCATTACCGAACTAGGTCACGTCATCAGGGCTAGGAGGGGTTGGGGAGGAAGAGGGCTGTGGGGTCCTTGGTGCTCTCTAAGCGTGGTTGTTTTCTTGCAGGCGTTTTATTACCCTACTAGGGAACAGGGCTAGAAAGGAGAGGGGTTGGGGGGGAGGAGGAGGAGGAGGACTGTGGGGTCCTTGCTGCTGTTTTTTTTCCTGCAGACGTTTCATCACCAAACTAGGTAACATCATCAGGGCTACACTGGAGGGGGCTGGGCCTTACAAACCCAAACAAAAATCTTTTGGAGATGTTTGGACTTCAGGAAACAACACGATCCTTTCAAAGGGCGGGGGGGGGGGGGGGGGGGGGGGGGGGGGGGATGAAAGAGACAGACGCGGCCGGACTCAAAAGGGCCTAAGGCTGGATTTGAACTCCAATCCCACTCTTGGGGTGGCCCCGATTATCCTGCCCGTCTGCCGAGGCTCTGGAACCGCTCCCCTTACCCGCTGAGGCCCACAGGGACCGCAATGAAGATCCGGGAGAAGGCCCGCACGACGTCCCGAAAGCGGCTGTCGACTGGAGAGGGAGAAGGAAACGAGAGAGAGAGAGGCGTGTGTGTGTGTGTGTGTGTGTGTGTGTGTGTGTGTCAGGAAGGAGCCCAGCATGCTGAGGCCCGACCCCACCCCGCCCCACCCCCCTGCGTTGTAGGACAGGGCCTTTGCGAACCCCACACACTCACCTTCCTTAAAGATTCCTTTCAGGGTGAAACAGAGCAACGTATTCTGAAACGGAGAGAAAGCAGCAGCGTTAAAAACAAGGAGGGGATGTGGCCAACACACACCTCTCTCCACAAAAATTAAAAACCCGCAACCAGGCGCCGCATCGACACTACGCAGGGAATCTATCTCACCATCTACTTCTGTCCCACTAACCGCAGCACCATTGAGAGTGTCCTGACATACGGCAGGAGAAGCTCTGGAGCGGACAAAAAAAAAAAAAAAAAAGGCTCCGCAGAGAATCATTAAAACTGCCCAGAAGATCATTGGGCTCCAGCCCTGGACGACAATCTTCGCCTCTCGCTGTTTGAGGAAGCTGCACAACATTCCCAGGGACTCTTCCCATCCTGCTCACAATCTTTGCAAACTGTTGCCTTCTGGCAGAAGATGCAGAGCAATTAAAAGTCGGACCACACGTTTTTCTGAAGAGTTTTTTTATCCCAGAGCTATATTGGCACTTAAGGATCACCATCAGTGAGCCGTTGGACAGTCTTACTTGGTCTGTTGTGTGGATGATGTGTGTTTTAAGGACTGGGGAACCTTGGCGGGTTGTTGTTGTTATTATTAGCCCAAAAGCACTGGTGAGAGAGAGAGAAATTCCCTGAAGAAGACAGACAATTCCCTAAAAATTCTGGAAGCTCGGAAGACAAAACTTCTGGTCCCGGTGACTTACGACTACAGTTGAGCCCAGAATTTAGATGTTGCTAAGTGAGGCATTTGTTCAGTTGAGTTTTATGACTTTTCTTGCCACATTTGTTCAGGGAATCGCTGTGGGCGGTTCAATTGGACCCACGTTTCAACTCATAAAATATTTCCGTGGTTTTTTTTAGAGTTGCCAACAGAAAGGGGGTTGAAAGAGCAGTGCAGCAGCTTGGAAACCAAAAGTGCATTCCATAAATGTTTTCAAAGATAGTAACTGGGTGACTGAAGTTTCTGCCAGGCAAATATCTAACGGGAGAGCCTGATTGATGGCTCTGAGCTATGGCTGTGTCCCATTGGTGAATATGAATTACGATACACCCAAGGGGCGGAGAGAAAACCAGGGTCAAGGGTGACAATGAATTATGTGTCTCAGAGTTGGCTACACCCAGGCAGCGCCGAACATGGTAACTCCCAATAAATCCTTTGGAAGTTTTGGAAGTTTGGCTCATGATTTAATTGAGGGTAACTGCCGGAATCCTGACAACATGTTGTTAAGTGAATAGGACTTCCCTATTGACTTGGGCTTGTTAGAAGGCCGCAAAAGGAGATTGCGTGATCCCCAGAATGCTGCGACCGTCATAAATGTGAATCATTTATCAAGCACATGAATATCAACCACATGACTATGAGGCATCTGCTGCAAGGGTCACAGGCGTGACAAATTAAATCCTTGGGACGGAAGAGCCAGGTCCGGAGGTGGCTGATGAGGAAGAGGAGGAACCGCTGGGTCCAGTGCCTGACACGCGGATGTGCAGAAGGCAGAGAGGAGAGGAGAGCAGTGGAAATCTATGGGCCGGTCCTTGGGATGGAAGAGCCACCACTGCTAGCGAAGCTCCACCCTCGCTTTGGGTATAAAAGGCAGAGAGCAGAGATAAATAGATGTGGTATACAACTACTCATCTCCCAGCCAGCCGGACTTGTTAGCCTGCTGTGAGAGAGACTCTTAGCCGAGCATAGGTAATAAGTTACAAACTGAGCGGTTTGTCATTCTTTTTATTGTTCCTAGTACAGTAACCGGCACGCACAGATCAACTGAACAAGGTCAGCACTGAAATCAATCGTCTTTCAGTGTAATTTAACCCTTTACCCCACCCACCTAATAGCGGTCTATCTCCACCCTGCGCTTATTTCCCAATTACCCTATTAACTCTATAATTCTTTTCTTTTTTTTAACAAATTTTATTCAGTTTTTCACATTAAAAACAAAAATCTCTTTTTAGTGGACAAGGTATTTCCGGGTCATCACCTTTACATACAAATATGACAGTAATTATACATTCATATATGCATACTTAATTCTATTATTACCTTTTCCATTCCAAATTTGTAATGGAACCCTAACCCTTTGTAATTTCGCCGCTCACTTTTCTGTTCTTAAAAATTCCATGTTACCTTAATCCCGGGGTACTTTTGTTTAGGTGTATTGCCCAGTTGTCCCGGTTCAGATGTTATCCACCTCTTTCTTCCCTCCTGCACAAAGCTTAATCCAGCTGAGTACTCCTCTTCGGGGTGGCCATTTTAAACCACCGTTACATTCGTCTTCGGGGGGAGGGGGGAAGAGACCAAGCCCAGGAGGGGAGATGCGGCTCTCCTCAACCTGGCTTGCGGCTTCCCCTTACTCCGCCGCCCCTCCAAGGCAGCTTCAGCCCCTAATCGTAATGATCGGGGCTCTCCAACGAAAGAGCACGGACCATAGCCGCAGAGAGTCGCGATCTATGGTCCGTCAGCGAGGAAGCTCCACCTTCTTCCCAGCTTAAGTCTATAATTCTATAGCCTACATATATACCCGCGATTCCCAGTTACCCTGTATGCCTCCCGTTTCCACGGTTGCCCTCTTCAATCCCTCTCTCGATTTATCATTAGAGTCTGATAAATAGCAATAGCACTTAAGACTTATATACCACTTTATAGTGCTTTACAGCCCTCTCAAAGCGGTTTACAGAGTCAGCCTCTTGCCCCCAACAATCTGGGTCCTCATTTTACCCACCTCGGAAGGACGGAAGGCTGAATCAACCTTGAGCCTGGTGGGATTCGATCTGCCAAATTGCAGTAGGAGTAGCTTGCAGTACTGCGCTCTAACCACTGCGCCACCGAGGCTCCTGATACTATCTCCTCTGCTCCCCCCCCCCTTCGTGGATTTATCGCCATGGTGTTTTTTGTTGCCAATCCTTCATAGCCGATCATGGACATGTAAATAATTGAGTTCCCCTCCTCAACTTAGATTAATAATCATTAGAAGGTTATCCAGTAGCGTTGTTTGTTTCCTCCGCTCCGTCTCCCTCAATCCCCTAAGCTTCAAGATGCTATCGAGCGAGACATTTCGTGAAGCGTGACAGGGAGACATTTTGCCAGGGCAAAAGGAATCATCTGAGTTCGCTTCAGAGGGTTTGTTGTGTTTGGGGAGCTGGCCCAGAACTACAGGCCTCCCCTTGGCTGATCTCAAAAATACAGCTAAGCCTCGGCTTACGACCGTAGTGGAGCCCATCCCATCCCGGTTGTTCAGTCAGACCTGGCCAGTCCTTTCTCCTTACTCACCGTTTGCGCACAGACGTCCACCACGAAGGAATTCACGTCATGCTGAGTCTTGGGCAATTCGCTGAGGAAAGCCACGACGTTCAACTTGGTGTGTTTGAGGAGTCGGAAGCGCAAGGCTGAAGGGGAGGAAGAGAAAAAGGCAGGAGGGTTTTTGGAGGTAAATCGGGGCTTTCTACCCAAAATAAAAAAGAACCTGAAACCCAGAAAGGGAAGCAGAGGCTACAAAAGGCTTCCCACCTCAAAGGAACAAGGAACAGAAACAAAGAGTGGCCAACAAGGACCGTGGGAACGTGACCAAAAGAAAGTTGGATGCAAAAAAAAAAAAGTATTAAAAGGAAAGAATTTGGGATCTATGAACTCGAATTAAAAAGGGATTTGAACTCGGGGATACTGGGCATATACAACTTCTCTGCAGGAAAACTTGGGGCCTGTTCCTGGTCTCTCCAACTAAAGGGATCCAGGAGCTGGGAAGGGTCTCAATCTGTGACCCTGAAAGGCATGTTGAGCGAGACAGAATGACAACTGGACTGAATAAAGGGGTTATTTAATTTTTCCCCTGCCTCTATTATATTTTATAAATAACTCAAGGCGGTAAACATCCATAATTCTTCCTCCTCCTCCTCTTTTACCCAGAACAACCCTGTGAGGTAGGTTGCGCTGAGAGAGGGAAGGGCTGGCCTAAAGTCACCCAGACGGCTTTCATGCCTAAGACAGGACTAGAACTCCCAGTCTCCTGGCGATCGGCCCAAAGCCACCCAGCTGGCATTCTGCCCTAAGGCGGGACTAGAACTCACCGTCTAGACCAAACTGTCTCTAGGTAACTGATTAACTGGTTAAGGAATTTAAGCAGGGAACGAAGAAGGGGTGGTTGATGGTGGTGGGTCTGGAAACTTTCTGCATTTTCCAAAGAAAGGATTTCGCTTTGCACCCAACGCTCTTCCATGCTAGGCCTCCAAGGAAGCCTCTTAACCCCAAAACCCCCTTTCTTATCATCATTGGCTTACAAGGATCTTTCTGTCGCTTCACATTCCGGCTGTTTTTGAAGTATTCAGCCAAAGCGGTCCTGCAGGGAAAATTAAATTAAATAAATCAATAAAATACAAGACTTCAGAGCACATATTTTTAAATAATCAAAACTGGGGCGGTTGTTTGGGGGGGAAGAGGTAAAGAACCTTCACTTGAGTAAACCAGAGGCCTATCTTTGGCTATAAATCTCATTAAAAAACTCTAGGCATTGATGTTATCATATGCTGACCGGAAGAGGCAATCTCTGGAATCGGGTCCCTCTGAACTGACCAAACCCCCCCCCACTTTTCAAACTCAAGGGTCAGCCTCTTGCTCCCAACAATCCGGCTCCTCGTTTTATCCACCTCAGAAGGATGGAAGGCTGTCAAGTTTTCTGACTGGGTTCGCCCTGCACGCTCCCCTTCTTATGCTGTTTTCCAGGGGAGTCGACCATCCTGAATATTAAACGAGTGCGCTTGTAATCCCGAGTCCCAGGAAGGAAAAGGAAGCGGGTGCAAAAATATCCAGGTTAACTCGTTGGCCGAGGTCAACAAGCGCGGGGTAAATGTGGCCGATGAGCTTTAAAAATATCTGTCCGTAGACCCCAGCACATGTTAAGACGGAACACGCCGAGCTCCCAAGCCAAGCAGTGGAAACCCCGAAAACAGACCTCTGAGGGTGATTCACGGAGAATGGGATGTTCAGCGAACAGCAGGCCGCCTCGTGATAGGCATCCAGCAGGCCTTGTCTGTCTCCAGAATCGTAGATGGCGTAATATCTGGAAAGGAAGGGACAATTTGGCACCAGCTGTCAGGATTCCGGCAGTTACCCCCAATTAAATCATGAGTCTCGAGCCAAACTTCCAAAACTTAAAGAAGATTTATTGGCCACATGTCTGGCACTGCCTGGATGTAGCCGACTCTGAGACACATCATTCATTGTCACCCTTGACTCTGGTTTTCTCCCCCACCCCTCTGGGTGTATCGTAATTCCTATTCTCCAATGGGACACCTCCATAGCCCAGAGGCATCAATCATGCTCCCCAGTTAGATATTTGCCCGGCAGAAACTTCAGTCACCTAGTTACTATCTTTGAAAAACTATGTATGGAATGCGCTTTTGATTTCCAAGCTGCCACACTGCTCCCCTCTCCCTTTCTGTTCGCAACTCTAACAAGACCATAGAAATATTTTATGAGTTGACACCACCACAGAGAGCAGGATACACTATTCTTTCATAGAACATGGCCTAACAGAGTTGGAAGGGACCTTGGGAGGCCTTCTAGTCCAACCCTTCTCAAGTAAGAGAGTCTATACCATTCAGGACAAATGGATGTCCAGTCTCTTCTCTAAAAAATCTCCAGTGTTGGGAGTACCCACAACTTCTGGAGGGAAGCCGTTCCACTGACTGGTTGTTCTCATTACAGGTAGTCCTCAACTTACACCAGTTCATTTAGTGACCGGAAAAAGTGACTTATGACCGTTTTTCACACTTCCAACTGTTGCAGCACCTCCCCCCGTGGTCACAATTCGGACACGTGGCAACGGGCACGTATTTACGACGGTCGCAGTGTCCTCGGGGGGGTCACATGAACCCCCTTTGTGACCTTCTGACAAGCAAAATCAACGCAGAATCCAGATTCCCTTAACGATGGTGTCACTGACTTAATAACGGCAGCAATTCACTTAACAACTGCTCGCGAGAAAGGTCGTAAAGTGGGGCGCAAAACTCATTGAACAACTGTCTTCAGAAATTCTGGGCTCAATGGCGGCCATAAGTCGAGAACTATCTGTGCCAACAACTTTCTCCTTAGTTCCAGGTTGCTTCTCTCCTTGATTAGTTTCCACCCGTTGCTTCTTGTCCCGCCCTGCAGCTGATCTGGAGAATAGCTTGACTCCCTCTTCTTTGGGGGTAGCTCCTCAAGTACTGGAAGACTGCCATCATGTCACCCCCTTGTCCTTCCTTCTCTTTATTAGAGTAGATCTACCTAAGCCAGTGTGACTATCCACTGAGGTGCACAGAAGGCTGTCACTTTCCCACTAAAATGGTACCTATTTATCTACTCGCATTTGCCTGCTTTCGAACGGTGAGGTGGTTAAGAGCTGGAGCAAGTAACGGGAGCTCACTCTGTTGTTGCGGAGCTCGGGTCTCAAACCTGCACCTGCCAGCTTTCCAGCCGACAAGTTCAGTGTCTTTAAACACTGAGCCTTCGTCACCCTGGAAAGCATATAACCTGACTTAAAATGACCCTTAAAAAAACAAGACAAACTACTACACAAAGATCGGGATTACTGGTTTAGCCTTCCAAAAGATCTGCGTGCTCCTCTCCTTGTGTGTGCTAGTGGTAAACTGCTCTTAATTATTAATAAAGTGCCTTCGTTATATTGGATTTCTTATAATAGTGGGACTACATATTTAATAATACATGTGCTGACAGCAGCGAGAATTGTATCTGTACAATACAGATGAAAAGTATAATTAGAAAACATTAGATGAAAAGTATAATTAGAAAACATTAGATGAAAAGTATAATTAGAAAACATTAGATGAAAAGTGTAATTAGAAAATATTAGATGAAAAGTATAATTAGAAAATATTAGAAAAAAAGTATAATTAGAAAATAGTAGATGAAAAGTATAATTAGAAAATATTAGACTGTGCGGAGATGGATAGGCTGACATTAATAATAAAAGATAAGAAACAGAATACTTTCTAACATGGGATTTGCTTTATCAATGGTTAGATAAAAGAGGTAGAAATTAGAAAGGGAAAGATTACTGATATGTGTAAGTAAAGGATAAAAGAATTGGATTATACATAAGTAAACATTAGTAGTAGCATTATTACAGTTATCATCATCATTATTATGACTAGTATTATTATACTGTATAAGTAAATTGATCCAGACTCAACCAACTCTGGAAGTTGAAGTCCACAAGTCTTAAAAGTTGCCAAGGTTGGAGACCCCTGATCCAGACAATAACTGTTCATTAAGCACGTATGTACTTTAAAGGAAAAAGAAAAGTATAATTAGAATTCAAACAATATTATTAATCAAGTGATACTCACTGTTGTAGAAAGCGGGCGATCAGCACTTTCAAGCCCTCGGAGGCAAAATAACTGCCCTGCGGAAAAAGAGACGAGGAGGCTGGTTTCCAAGTGGGCCAGGAAGGACGGCTGAACTCGCCAGACCCTGCTGGGAATCAGTATCAGGTTCCCTCCCCCCTCCCTTTTCCATCTGCCCCTTTCCCCAAGGGGGGGTCGGTCTACCTTGAATTGAGGCAGAGTGGTTGGCGTTTGTAAATCAAATGAGATCGGCGGGGGCAGATCGTTACCGTCCTGCGGAAGGAAAGAAGAGGGAAGGTTTGTCAAACATTTATTTGGTTTGTCAATTGCTTACAAGGTAATAGGTATAAGTAAAAACATAGTTATGAATACATGGATACATATAAGAAAAAAAAGAAACAATAGGACAGGGACGGTAGGCACGATTGGTGCACTTATGCAGGCCCCCTACAGACCTCTGAGGAAAGGGGTGAGGTCAATAGTAGACAGTCTAAGGTTAAAGTTTTTGGGGTTTGGGGAAGAAACCACAGAGTCAGGTAGAGTATTCCAGACATTGACCACTCTGTGGATGAAGTCATATTTCCTGCAGTCAACTTTGGTGCGGTTAACTTTGAGTTTGTATCTATTGTGTGCTCTTGTGTTGTTATGGTTGAAGCTGAAGTATTCATTGACAGGTAGGACATTGCAATGTATGATTTTATATACCATACTTAGATCGGACTGAAGGCGGCGTAGTTCAAGGTTTTCTAGGTCTAGAATTTCCAGTCTGGTGGCATAAGGTCTTCTGCAACGAGTAGAGGGGTGGAGAACTCTTCTTGTGAAATATTTCTGGACTTTCTCAACTGTATTAATATCCGATTACGTAATGCGGGTTCCAGACTGATGAGCTGTATTCAAGTATTGGTCTAGCAAATGTTTTTTTAGGCTCTAGTTAATAGTGTGGTGTTACCAGAGAAAAAGCTACGTAGGATTAGGTTAACAACTCTTAATGCCTTTTGGACTATGTAGTTACAGTGGGCTCTAGCACTTAGATCATTAGAGATGAGTACTCCAAGATCCTTGACAGAGTTTGGGTCATCACTCACACACACACACACACACCAGGGCCCGCCAGTTTTGGATAACTCACCAGCCGCAGCAGCTTGGGGAACCGTTCTCGGATGGTGCTGGCGGAAACACAAACAAGAATGAGTACGCAGCTGATCCTGTTGGCACAGCCGACCCCTCCCACCCCTCCCTCCCTCCCTCCGACCGCCTGCCTCGGTGGACCCTATCGCCTGCCCTCGCGAGCCCGTTTCGTCCATCTTAGGAACGGCGTCCATGCTTCAGCAGGGTTTGAATCCCCCCCCCCCCCCCCCTGGGGCTGGTGGGCCGGGGGGGCAAAAAAAAAAAAAAAAAAAAGGGAAGGACGCGTAAATTGCTCCAGTGGACGGAAGTTAAAGTCTTCCCCTTAGAAGCTGCGGATCCGGCGGTTTAAGTTACAAAGCAGCTAGTTCTCTTTAAAACGGGGAGCCTTGGCGCCCGGTCGGCGTTTTGCAAAGAGCGGGAATCGAATTCGTCCGACCGGTTTTGAGCCTTGGAGCGATTGTTCTCAGGGCTAAGAAATGGGGACGTGACTCACCGGAATCTTTAAACGAGGAGCTGTGAAATAAGACTCAACGGCTGTTTTCTAGATCTTTTTTTTTGGGTGGGTGGGTGGGTGGAGGAGCCCAAGGAATTTACATAAAACAAGAGCAGTCAAACGAAGGTTGGAACTCGGCCCAGGTGCTAAAGGAGCACAATAAAAGGCCGTGGAAAGAAACCAGCACCCCTTAAATGAAGCTCCGTCACTTCTGCAATCGTTAAAAAAAAAGCTCCCGTCACTGGCCCGTTTCCGTGCAGGAGTCGGACGCTTGGCCTCTCTTAAGGAGAAAGCATCGCGTCAGTTTTCATTCGCCAGACGCTTTTGGCTTTTTAAGAGAAATGCGTCCAGCTTGTTATTACAAGTGCATGGAAAGGGGGGTGGGGGGCTTGTTGGCTTGATGCTAGGAGACAGCACGCCACGGCTCTGCCCCCACCTCCCCCCAAAACGCAAGCCTCAGTTGAACACCCTGTAAAATGGAGCCTTTTTCCTCCTGTGGTAGTTTTAACACATGCAGACAGGCAGGACGAGACAGAGGTGTTCTTTTCTTTTTTTTAAAGGAGGCTGCGTGTACTGGAAAGGTGCACTTACCTGAGCGGGTACTCACCTGGTCGGCTCATTTATAGGAGAAATGCTCCTCCAGGGGGGGCAGGAGAGGGGAGGGAGGGGGGATGGCCAAGGTGTCCCATCGATGCTGGAGATGCCAGGTGGAACTTCCCGGCCACCACCTTTTAAAATGCTCTTTTATTTTTTTATTTTTTAGAAAAAACTTGTTGCGGTATCGAGGTCTAAATCTAATTAATGGCTGCGGAGGACAAGGGGGTGGGTGGGTTGAGAAGCAAGGGGAACCCCAGGGGTGGGGGGTAAAGTAAGTGTGTGTGTGTGTGTGTGTGTGTGTGATTCAGAAGCCCCTCCGCTCTGGTGCACAGCCTCCTCCATCCTCAAAAGCCCTCTGGGCATTCCCTTCCCACCGCCCGAGGTCCCGGCGAGATGCCAGCCTGCCAGTGACGTCTGAAGCCTCCCCCTGCAGGGATAGGGGTGGGGTTTTTTTTTTTTTCTTTTGCCGACGTTGCTCGCCACAAGCTCCAAGCTCCGTGACCATTTCACAGCTCGGGAGAAGCGCCACGCGCGCTCGGCTGCTGGAGTGAGAAGCATCTCCTTCCTGGAGCTGTTTTTTCGGCAGCAGCCGGGCCACAGGAGGAAAAAAAAGCGCGTGCGCGGAGGAGGTCCCTGGGCTTTCTCCGCCGCCGCCTTCCACCAACCGGGGAAGGGCTCAGTTCCGGCCGCCCATCTTGACTGTGCCTGTCTTAGGTTGTTCCTCCCACCGAGGAATCTTACCCGTCATTGGCTAACCAGCCGTCTGCAGGGGGCCCGTTTTTCTTTTTTTTTTTTTTCATTTTTTCCTGGCCACCAGGGAATCCTCGCCGTTTTGGCAGCTCTCGTGCCAACGTTCAGCCAAGGAGGTGCAAAAATCCTGGCCCTCCAAACAGAGAAGGAAGGCCCAGAGTGGCAGGCTTGGGCCAAGCGAGGGTGGGCGAGCCACAGAGGGAAGCGTGAGAGGAAGGCGAAGGCTGTGCGCCCAGAAGCCTCGGGGGGCCTCCGAAGGCGAGAAAAAAGTGGGGTGGGGGGTTTAGGACAGGCAAGGGAGGCCTGGAGAAGGAACGGGGGTGTATTAACAAGGGGAGAACCTCCAGGGGGAGGAAGGAAGAGGAAAGGAGGGAGGGATATAGGGGCACTTGTGCAAAAAAGAAAGGGGGGGACAACTTTTTGTAATGGGCGAGACGGGTGAGAAGGAAACCCCACCAGGCCGCGCTCCAATCTAGCTGCAATAAAACCATGGTCAGAACACATCACAGAGCAAGTTCAGAGAAGGCAGAAGAGCTCCTCTGGGAGATTCGACGCCAGCTGGGAAGACTGGGATCCAGCCCTCAACCAGGCAAAGAGAGAGAAGGCTCCTAGGGGATTGTCACCCCATCACGGTCCGGGGAGACAGGGCCACGGGAAGGGCGATTCTCCTCCGGCAGCCGAGGCAGGCCCAAGGCTGCAGCTCACCTGATATAAGAGGAACGGTCCCGAAAGCCATCGCAAAGGGGGTTGTTGTCAAGCCACAGTTCGTCCAGCTTTAAGCCTTTCAGCTTGTCTAGCTCGTGTTCGGTCTTCAGCTGAGGGAAAGAGTCAAGAGGCGAGGGAGGAGGAGGAGGCAGAGTCAGGTGGTGGTGGTGGGGTTGGCTAAGCACAGATCCAGCTTTTTTTGGGGGGGGGGGGGGGGAGGCCCCCCTGGGCTTACCTGGTTACAAGACAAGTTGAGGATCTTCAGGTTGGGAGCTTTCCGATGAAGCCCAGCCAGGTCATCGAGGCGATAGAGCTTGTTGTCACTGAGATTGAGGGAGAGGAGCTGCAAAGGGTGGGATAGAATCGAAGCTTTACGGTCCCTTTCAATGTACGCTTATCGGCAGACATTAAAATGAAATTTCCGTTGGCATTCAGCTCCCACAAGATAATCGTTATGCGTATGCACACGTACACGACAGAAACACCGCAGCCGAGTTTGAACGTGTGTGTGTGTGCGTGCTTGTGTGTGCATTGCGAAAGAAGAAGAAGGATCCCGCGAGTTTACAAGGCAGGTGGCATAAGGAACAAAGTGGGGACTGAATCTAGGGGTCCTGCTATAAGAGGCTTGGAAACCGGCCCCCCGAGGGGAGCAACAGAAACAGGCCGTGCGGTGGGGGATGTGGGGGGGGGTCTCTAACAAGGAAAGAAAGGGTTGTGCCTGGCAGCCTCAAAGCTGTGACCATTGAGAAGCCTTATGCATGAAAGCTGGCTGGAAGACGTTGGGACAATCACCAGGTGATGGTGAGTTCTAGTCCCATCTTAGGCATAAAAGCCAGTGGGAGACTTTGGGCCAATCGCCCGGAGACGATGAGTTCTAGTCCCACCTTAGGCATGAAAGGCGGCTCAGTGACTTGAGGCCAAGCCTGGTCTCATGGCCTAACCTGCCTCTCGGGGTTGTTGTTTGTCGTGGAGAAAAACAACAGAAAGAGCACTATGAAACCCACCTTTCATATAGACAGGATATGACACAAGGAAATAAAGATGGAAGCCTCAAAGAAAATACGACCAGGGAAAAAGAATGAAAAGCTAGAAATGTTGATTTTTAAGGATCGGCCGTCGGCCGTTTTCCCCCCAAACGAGGCCCATCTGACCAACTAGGGTTCTCAAAGGCGGCCCACGTCCATTTGAAGTCCCAAGTGGAAACTTGGGCAAAAATCCACTCTTTTCGTGCCTCCCCCAAACCGAGGATCGGAGGGAAGACGGGGAACATGGCTGACCTCGGGGATGTTGTCGCCCACGATTTGCAGCATGGCCGCCATGCAGTTTCGGCGGTTCAACACGATGTCGATGTTCCGGGCGATCAGATCTGGGGAGGGAAGGAGAGAACAAACCAGGATTGATTTTCGGTTCCAAAGAGGCCTGGAGAATGGACTCTTAAGCGATGCAGGGCTTTGGGAAGCAAACGTACCCCCGAGAGTCAAGTTTACTTGCTCGTTTTGTGTCTGTGGGCGTGTAGGGCGGTGCCGGTTTTAAAGGAGGGCCAAACCGTGCCCGGTGGGTGGGAGAAAAGGGAGGGGGAGAAGGGACTCACCGGGATCTGCGTGGATATTTTTCATATCCAAAGCTTGATGGGAGCTATCGTACCTTTTACTCATACATTGCTGAAAGCAGAAGGAGAGGATTATTGGAGACGAGGCCGCAAACGCCGCTGGAGTTTTTTGCATTCCCCAAAGACTAGAAAGCTGATCTGATCTGGAGTCTTGAGGACCAAATGGGTCAGAGGGGAGCCAAGCAACAACAGGAAGCTTATTCTGCCTCCAGGGTGCTTATTAAACTTTTGCCTGTTTCTGCTGTTTCAGCAACCAGCTGCTTCTCCCTCCCTTCTATCTCTTTATCAGAATAAGTAAGTAAGTAGGTAAGTAAGTAAGTAAGTAAGTAAGTAAGTAAGTAAGTAAGTAAAGAAAAAAGGAAGGAAGGAAGGAAGGAAGGAAGGAAGGAAGGAAGGAAGGAAGGAAGGAAGGAAGGAAGGAAGGAAGGAAGGAAGGAAGGAAGGAAGGGGCCTTGGAGGTCTTCTAGTCCAACCCCTGCTCAAGCAGGAAACCCTATACCATTTCAGACAAATGGTTGTCAAATTTCTTCTTAAAAAAACTCCAGTGAGGGAGGGAGGAAGGAAAGAAAGTAGAATATGAGAACTGGAAGGGACCTTGGAGGTCTTCTAATCCAACCCCTTGGTCGAGCAGGAGACCCTATCCCATTCCAGACAAAAGGACGTCCAATCTCTTCTTAAAAAACCTCCACCAGGGTTGGAGTACCCACAAGAAGTTCTGGAGTCAAGCCGTTCCAAAACATCCCTTTCCTTTCCTTTCTTTCCCCCCCCCATTCCCTCCCTCCCTTCTTTCCCTTCCTTCCATCTCTTTCTTTTCCCTAACGGGGGGAACATCTGTAGGGCAAGCGAGCAGGAAGAGGTTTGCCAAACGTTTTTAACAGTTTTACCTTCAGTTGCTCAATGTCTTCTGGTTTCAGTTCATGCTGGACGGTGGTCGGTGGGTTGCACGTGTTTATAAGTATCGCCACCTGGAAGGAAGCAGGGCCTGGATTAGGGAAATGGCTTGTGGGAAGTGAAAGTGACCACAGATCTGTTTCCGGGGAAGGGGGGGGGGCTTGTTCTGAAGCCAGGAACTTCCCTCCCCCACCCCCCGCCCAGCACCTCCCAGGCAAGGGCCAACGAACCTTGTGTCCATCTGGAGCAGAGATCTTACGAGAGGTCTGCTTAAGGGCGTTGGCCACGGAAGTGTCTTCTACGAAGAACACCACCCGATTATTCACGCAGTGGAACTACAATGGGAGGGAAAAGTCACCTTGGGATCAAGCCGCTCTTTCCTCCCAAAAAATCGCAACCAAAATTAAAGCAAACGTTGAGAATTGGCGACCTTCTGACAAGCAAAGTCAACGGGGAAACCAGATCCACTTATTTAACGACCCCCATAATGCCTTGTGGGGCAACTGAATGGAGCAGAGTGTTTACTGGCTGGATGCCCTTCCTGTCACCGAGGCGGAGTTTTGTTTCAGCAGAGATATTCTCACTCTGCCCAGAGAAACATCTGCCTCTCCCTGGGATCGAACTCACAGCCTCCTGATTGGTGAGGCAAGAGCTCTAGGCCACCACACCGCTTCTCTAGGGTGATTAATTTTAACAACTGCGGCGATTCACTTAGCAACGGTGGCAAGGAAGGTTGTGACGTGGGGCAAAAGCCACTTAACCAACGTCTCGCTTAACACCAGAAATGTTGGGCTCAGCTGTGGGTTTTAAGCCGAGGACTCCCTGTGGTTTCGAGGGAGCTGGAGGGCTCTTACCTCCACAGGGTTGAAGGGGACGGTGCACGTTTCTCGTATGGCATTCATCAGCCAGCTCCTTTCGTATTTCCTTCCGTAAGGAATCTGACAAAGAAGAACAACACAGGAGCCTGTCAAAAACCGGGATTTCTAAGGCCCCACCGCTCCCTTTTCCCCCACAACAAACACCTTTGGGCTGAGGGGAAGATTGGTCCAAGGTCACCCAGCCAGCTTTCCTAAGGCGGGACTAGAATTCACCATCGCCTGGTGATCGGCCCAAAGTCACCCAGTGGGTTTTCACGCCTAAGGCAAGACTAGAACTCTCAGTCTCTTGGGGATTGGCCCAAATTCTCCCAGCCGGCTTTCACATCTTAGGTGGGACTAGAATTCATCATCTCCTAGTTATTGGCTCAAAGTCACCCGCTAGACTTTCATGCCCAAAAGTAGAACTCACTCTCTCCTGGTGATGGGCCCAAAGTCACCCAGTGGACTTCTTTGCCTAAGGCAGGAGTAGAACTCCCATCACCTAGTCTCCTGGTGATTGACCCAAAGTCTCCCAGCCAGCTTTCATATCTGAGACGGGACTAGAACTCATTATCTCCTAGTGGTTAGCCTTGCGCCTTATCTACTAGCCAGAACAAACTGACTCTCTAAGAATTGATAATTCATAATAAGTCTGTGGGGACAATTGGGACCCAAGAGACAAGACGGGGGCCAAGGAAGGAAGAAGCTAGCGCTTCCTGAAAAAGCCTGGAATGGCTCAGTGAAAGATGGAGGAACGTCTTGGGCAAAACCTGATTTCTTCCAATGGACCAGGGTCCTTCTGAACACCCAGATCCCTGGTCTGCTGCTGTGTGGCTCACCGTAATCCGGAACCAGGTCTTCTTGCTTACTGGCGGTTTCTGAGGAAGGGCACGGTCCCCAATATTCAGATTTCGTCTCACGGTGGCATTCATAAGACTCTGGCTCCCTCGGTCTGGCCGGTGCGGACGTGACCCGTAAGGAGTGCTAAGAGGTAAACAAACATTTCTTTTTACGGAGAGACGCAGTTAAATTCCTTTGTTCTCAGCCCCCAGGATGAAATTCAGATTGTGGGCATGCCACAGACCGTATGGACCATCCTGCAACTTCATTTGGATAAAGGTTACACTGCACTGCAGGTAGTCCTCGACTTACGACCGCAACAGAGGCCAGAATTCCCGTTGCTAAAACAGGGCGGCCGTTAAATCAGTCCCGCCTGAGTTAACGGCCTTTCTGACACGGTCATTGAGTGCAATTGTTAAGGGAATCTCTGCAATTAAGGGAATCACATGGCCGTTAAGCAAATCTGGCTTCCCCCCATTCACTGCACGTCGGAAGTGATCTGGGAATCACATGACCCTGGGATGGGCGTTGTACATACATGCAGTTGCCAGGTGCCTGACTTAAAAGTAAGCGACCTAGAATGCTAGCACCATTTAATTTCTAAATCATGAACAGGTTCCAATTACTAGTTGTCCGGCTGCTGTCTTTTAACTTTCATGGCTCTTTGTCTAATTACTAGGATAACAAATGAATCAGATGACCTCAATTCCCCAGCTTCCTAGAAGCAAACCCCAGAATTGCTAAGCAATAAATCGAACATGGTTAGGCAGGAAAGGCTGAATTTTTTCCCCCTCGGTGCCTATTTTTCATCTTACATCTTATCTGGGAAGGTTCCACATATAGACTAACGCACTGAACCAAAACAGGGACCAGAAGGATGATTGAGGCTTTAAAACAAGGATTCCTCTCACAAGCAGACAGGAGTCCCCGACTATCCCACAGAATCTATTTCTCACTAGCGTGTCCGGAGCACTTCGTGGGCATCGCTCATGAGAACGTCTCCATCGTCGTCATCGAGCCAGCTACGAGAACCGGACCCAGAACTGTTCCAGCCACGCTGGTGATGGCCCATCTCGCTGTACATTTTCCCCCGGAAAGGGACGCGGCCTTTTCTCCTCCGCACAAAGTTCCTGTTGCTGGGGCCCACGCGGTCGTCATGTTCTGAAAAAAAAAAAAGGAGAACAGATCGAAGCATCAACAGGGGGTTCCATTGCATAAAGGACTGCAGGCCAGGCATTCAGAGCATCATCGTTCCTCAACCTTTGGCAACTTTAATCTTGGTGGACTTCGACTCCCAAAATTCCCCAGCCAGCACATTGCTAAGGTTGAGGAAGTTGGTTTGGAGAAATGACGATCAGGTCAGTTAAGGCTCCAAAACAGAAAGGGACTGCTGGGCTTAGTGGTTTCCTTGGAGACGTTTCGTGACCAAAGTAGGTAACGTTATCACTGCTGAAGATGCACTGATGATGTTACCTAGTTAGGTCATGAAATGTCTGCAAGAAAACAAGCCGTTCAGAAAGCACCAAGCAGCCCACAATCTTCCTCCTTCTCCTCTTCCTTCCCCTCCCCTTCCCCCTCCTCTTCCTCTCTCTCCTTCTCCACTCCGCAATCCCCATTCTCTTCTAGCACTGATGATGTTACCTAGTTGGATCGTGAAACGTCTTCAAAAAAGCAGCAAACCTCAGAGGGCACCGAGGACCCTACAGTCCTCCTCTTCCCTGTAAACCTTACTCCCTTCTATCACTTCTCCTCCCCACACTCAAGACAGCATCCCACAGTTCAACCCTGAGCTACAAAAAGTCCTCAACTTACAGCAGTTCGTTTAGCTGTTCAAAGTTACAGCAGCACTGAAAAAAAAAAACGACTCAGGACCACTTTTCACACTTACGACGGTTGCAGCTGTTGTTAAGTCGACTACCTGCACCCAGCATGGTTCTGTGTTCCCCCGGGGGGCCCCCCCTCAAACTTACGACCACAACTGAGCCCAAAACGCATGTCGCTAAGCGAAACATCTGTTAAGTGAGCTTCGCCTCATTTCACGACCTTTCTCGCCCCATGTTTTAAGGGAATCCCCCGCCGTTGGTAAGCGAGCAACAGGGTTGTTAAGTGAATCCGACCTCCCCATCGACTCTTGCTTGTCCGGAGGTCGCCAAAGGGGATGACAGGACCCCAGGAGACACAGCGACCGTCATAAATACGAGCCAGCCTGAACTTTGATCACCCGACCACGGGGGACGTTGCATTGGTCGTTAAGTGCGAAACGCCCGCCCTAAGTCCCCTTTGTTTCAGGGCCGTTGTCGCTTCAAACGGTCACTAAACGAACTGGTTGCAAACCGAGGACGGCCTGGTCTTCCCCCCCCCCAACCCCATTCAAAGCCAGGATTTACACCCCGTGTTTCCTTAGGGAGCCCCAAAACTCAAGGCTCCCCCCCCCCTTCTTTTCTTTCCCCCCCCGCCACCCACCCCCGCCCGGCAGGCGGGCCGGAGAAAGCCCCGGGGGGGGCCCCCCCGCGGGGGGGGGGGGGCTCCAGCCCCTCCCCCATCAGACCCCCCCTCCTCGGTTTCCCAGGCAACGACCCCTCCCTCTTCCCCTCAGGGCCCCCCTCCTTCCCAAGGGGCCTCCCTCGCACGACGACCCCGTGAGGTAGGCCGGGACGGCCGAAGACTCTCTAGAGAAGCTCCCCACCACCACCACCGGTCCCCTCAAGCACCCCCGCTCGCCCCCTCACCGCTGTATTTCCCGCCGTCGGCCATGAAGGGAGCCCCGCTGACGGGCACCTCGGAGAACGACTCCCCGGCAAACACAAGAGAGGCCTCGGAAGAGAGTCCTTGGCCCGCCGGGCGCCGCCGCCGTCGTCGTCGCTGCTGCTGCTGCTGCTGCTCCCGCCGCAACCGCCTCCGCTCGCCTTTCTTCTCGCCTCCCCCCCGTCTCCCCTCAGCGCGTCGCTCTCGAACGAAGGAGGCGAGCCGCCCAACGCGCAGGCGCGGCAGGCAACGCGCAGCCTCCGCCGCGAGGGGTTTCCGGTTGAGGGAGACACGGTTTCCGGCGAGCCGACCGCGCAGGCGCACCTTCCCCGCATCTCCCTCCTACACCCCTCACTTTGAGACCATAGACTTACAGACCATAGGCGGGAATTGGCAGAGTTGCCAACCTTTCAAAGCTTGTTTTATTAGGGTTGGCCCCGAATGGTGGTTTGGAGGGATGCTTTGCCCTGCACCTGTTGTTGGTGGGCTCCTAAGCAATGTTTGATGGGCTTATCAAAGTTGGAAGCGGTTGTTTTTTTTTTTAAAGTAGTGAGGGTTAGAGTTGCATCGAAAAAAGTGACTTATGACCATTTCTCACACTAATGACCATTGCACAACCCCCCCCCCCGTGGTCACATGATCAAGATTTGGACCCTTGGCAACTGGCATGTACTTATGACAGTTGCGATGCCCCTGGGGGTCACGTTGAGGCAGGACATAAAAGAAGGAATATATTGCCTTGAGGGAGATATTAACATGATTTTTCTTGATATTGAAATGTGTGTATTAAACAAATGAAAAATGTCAGATCATAAGTTCCTCTGTTGGTCACTCACTCACATTGTCAAGGAGAAAGCTTTGTACAGATAACCTTGCAACAAAACCGCAAGCGTACTGCCAGAAACTAGAAGCTGTGGAAATTCACCTTTGATATAGTTTATTGTCATTGCACCTCGTACAACGAAATCAAACGCCATCTTCAGTGCACATCATGATCATAACCATGAAAATAAACACAAACACACATCCTTCACCCTGATTGAGAGGGGAAGGTATTTCGTTACTGTAGCCTAGCAACAGGGGAGCTGTATTTCAAGTAACCAATGTGGTTTGCAGCTTCTGAAATGTATATATGCGAGTGTAAAAATCTATAGGAAGTTGTTCAGCTGTTGGGTTGGCTAATTTGCTCTGAACCTTTGTGCAAATAAAACTATTTCTGATTCCAAGATCTGAGCTTGACATTTCCTGCAACGCGATCCCCTTTTGCAGCCTGCTGACAAGCACCGTCAATGCTTGAAAGCCAGATTCCCTTAACAACCGTTTTACTACCCTAACAACTACAGTGATTCGCTTAACAACTGCAGGAAGAAAGGTCATAAAAATGGGGCAAAAGTCACTCGACTGTTCTGAGCAAAGGAAAGTTTGGGTTCAATTGCAGTCGTAAGTCAAGGACTTACCTGTAATGGACAGCTGGCTTACAGGAACTGCAAAGTGGTTTAAGATGCCCAGAGAAAGGAAATGCTTTTAAATCCTATGAAAATATTGCTGTACTTGGGGAAAATTTAGGTCACGCGCCATGCTAACAAAGCTGGCATGGTATCTGAACATTTTAAAATGTAATTTATATCCAATGATCCAAAGACTGGCGAGTTTAGATGACGATAAAGATGCTACCCTGAGGTGCTGTATAGATAGTCCTCGACTTACAATAATTAGGACCACGACTTCTGTTGCTAAACAAGATGGTTACGTGATTCGTCATGCCCAATTTTACAACTTTTTTTTTTTTGGCCACGGTTGTAAAGTGACTCATTGTGAGTGCCTGCACGTGTTAGGTGTGACTTTGGCTGTTGCTATTATTGCACCCTTAAGGAAGTGACCTCATGGCATACTAAACACCCCTCTTTTAAATGCATCCTAAACAGATTAAGTCAGTCTTCTCGATTTGCAGGCCAAAACTAAAACTAAATTAATCCCACAGACTGGATTCACACATTATCTCTGCATTGGCTGAATGTTGTCTCCAGAACCAAAGCAGATGTCCCCAAAGTGCTTT